GGTACAACTCGCGGTGACGACAAAGCATACCCAGATCGATACTCAGGATTAGAACTCTGCTGCGTCGACTTCGGCGAAGCAACCCACGGTGGAATGCCATTGTCGTCGAGGTTCTGGGGTTGAGCTCGGGTTGGAGGCGTTGATGGAGACAGGGATACCGGAGCGATACACTCGGGATGTGGAGTAGTTGTTTCTGCTCCTCTTTCCCCTCTCGCTCCTTCCTTTTCTTCAACCTGCATCCCCACAACCATACCATCATCAATTTGCATGGCATCATCATCAATACGAGAACCATCCACCTCATCCATCATCTCCTGCTTGACGCGTAGACTCTTTGTGACCCTCTTTGTGACCCTCTTCTTACCACCATCGAGAGACCTCTGCCTGCTCTGCTTGGGAGTACTTTTCTGAAGCGGAGTACGCCCCATACTTGGATATCCTCTATATCCGTTATCGTGATCCTCATCGTCCAGCTCATCGACCTCAACTTCGGCCTCTTCCTCACCGTTCCCGTTCCCGTTCCCAGCATCCCCGTTCGCATACAGTGGTAAAGACGGTGACGCAGACGAAATTGAACCCCTCTCCTCCCTCGTCGCCGCCGGCCTCCTCAGCGGCACCCAATTATGTTCTGGAGAACTAAGTACGCGGATGCCTCCAGGACCGAGGACTGCGTCGTGGGTTGAAGATGTGTCGTGGGGTGGAGATGCGTCGTGTGCTAGGGATATATGGTGGGGTAACGATGCATCATAAGGAAGCGATATCTTTATCTCATCGCTCCCATCGGAGGATGGCTGAGCCAAGTAGGGTGGAAGTGGTAATGGTAATGGTTGTGATACATGGCGATCCCGGTGCGAGTTTGTAGTAGTCGGATCGTATCCGTATCCCGAAGGCCCATATCTAGGAGATATTGATCTTCCATCATCCCTTCTGGACATCAACAAAGAACCATCTTTTCCATGTAAAGAACCAGGCAGCGGAGGTAACGGAGAGATAGGCCTCGCAGCAGCAGCAGCAGCAGCCAACGCTGCGAGTGGGTCTAGTGTGACTGCTCGTGCGCGAGAAGCTAGAGTTGTTCGGGATGTGGATGCAGTACTAGCTGAAGTCTGTAGCGGTGGAGCTGTTGGCACATTATTCGCATTTCGAGATTTGGACGTTTTTGACCTAGAGGAAGGCTTTGTCTCCGTCGTCAGAGTTGGGATAGTTCTAGACATGTATGGCGATTGTGACCGAGAATCACGGAGAGAAAGTGAAAGTCCAGAAGGTGATCTCGCCATATCCCTGTCCCCACTCCCCCTACTCACAGAGCGACCCGTAGGAGGAATCGTAATGGCAGGCGACATCAACGATAAATTAGCCAATGAGAGAAGAGGCGAATCTGCAACCATAGACATGGACATGGACATTTGCATTTGTTCAGGTGTCATTTGTGTTGATATTGATATTTGGGGTGGTGGGTGCATGGTTTTGGTCTGTGTGTCGTTTAATGTGGAAGCAGAAGCGGGGGTTCGTGTTCGTGCTGGTACTGGTACTGGTGCTGGTGCTGGTGCTGGTGCTGGTGCTGGTGCGAGTACCAGTGCTGGGGTCATATCATTCCGTGTGGGCACAGGTGCAGGACTAGTCGACTTCGTAGACATCGAAATGCTTGGTTTCCGTTTTGAGGCAGGCATCAAGTCAACATCCATAGGAATAGGCTCCGCTCTCTCCCCCGGTATCAGACTCCTAGACTCCATCAACTCCACCTCCGGTTCCTTCCTCCATCTGCGCTTCATCTTTGGTGGAATAATCTCTGATTCCTCTGTTTCTGCCTCTGCGTGATGCTGAGGGTTCACAGTTACAGTTGCACGGGACCACGTGGGTTTCCGACGATGTCTCTGGAGCTGCGGCTGAGAGTGCGTGTATCGAGAATGGATACCTAGAGTTAGACCTAAGTAAATCGTTGATATAGGTGTCTTGTATCTAGAATAAAAACACGCACCATGATCTTCATCAAAACTCTCCTCAACACCCTCTCGAGGTTCCCATTCCTCAACACTTTCTCCTCCCTCTTCATCGTGATCAACCGCGCGCGCCTTTCCTTTTCCTTTCCCATCAGGAGGTAGGGGCGGTTCGCCCCAAAATAACTCCTTCTTTCCGGTGCTAGTCTTCCCTATACTCATACCTATACCGATACCTGTACTACTTGTCCTTACTCTGGAAGTACTATCATGTGGGAATGGATACGACTGTCCATACGAATACGGCGACGGTGCATGAGGATGGGGATAATGAGGATAAAGGGAGGGAGATGGAGCGTGGAGAGGAGCGTAAGGTGAAGGCGCATAAGGAGACGGAGGCTGTCCGTATCCTGCATACGAATATGGCAAGGCATCATAAGGAGATATGAATCGCGGAGCAGGGTATCGATTTGGATTTGGGATATGATTGGAATGGTGCGATTGGAATGAATACTGAGGATGGGGAGGATAAGGGTTCTGCTGTGGTTGTTTTTGCCTTTCTGGCCGCGTAGCAACAGGTGCAGGAAGTGGAATTGGGGCAGGAGGTCCGTGCCCCACTGTATCTACGCCAACATCCGCCTTTTCCCTCTCTCTCTCTCTTTGCTCACGCCCTTTGGGTGTCCCGTCTAACGATGGAAAGCCCTCTTCCTTGGGACCCAAACCGGGCTTTTCCTTGGTATACCCCAAATCCATCTCGACTCCACCCAATCCACCACTACCAGGTATCCGCTCGCGAGTGCGGAATCCACGGGGAACGCCGATAAGAGGGCCAAGATCGAGGTCTGTTTCGAGTTGAGTTTCGGGAGCGGGAGCGGGAGGGCGAATAGTGTCGGGGTCGGGTTCATTAAGAGAGGGAAGGAAGGATCGGGTCCGGTTGGGATCGGTAGAGAAGCGGAGTCATTCAAGATAGGTATCGGTGAAGGTAGTGGAGACATCTCGCCACTGATATCAGGTCTCCGTCCCCGCTCATTGCTTTGCTCAAACCCCGAATGACCAGTAGTGAACCCAAATCCAAATCCGCTCTTCAAGAACTGCCTATTCCATTCCTCCTTCGGTTCCTCACCTTCCACAAACTCTCTCATTCTCTTCAACACGCATCCCTGTGCACTCTCTCCACACGCACACGTTGTGAACGTTGCGCCCAATGCACGGAGAATGTTTGCCATTTGGAGTTTGTAGGCAGATATCTGGGCGGGTCTACGAAAGGAGGGTTATTAGAGCCAAAGAATGCAACGAATGTACTCACGGAAACACGCTTTCATCTCTCAAGAGTGCAGGCAGCAAATGAACAACATTTGCATCGTCCCATTCCCATCCCAAAACGACTTCTTCGTTTGCTTTGAGGTCGCGAAGTGCAAAAAGAGCGAAAGAAAGAGAAGAGTCGGAATCAGGTTCAGACTGCTTGTTATCGCAGATCACAGGTCTCAACACTGCATTTGGTCTACATCCACTTCTGACAAAAGTTCCCATTCCACTTCCCATTTTCCCCTCACTTTCCTCGCTTTCTTCATCCTCAAGCATCGGACCTCCTACGCCTCTGGCATCCAATGCCAGATCCAAAGGTGGACCCATCAGATGGACTCTCGGTTTTGGCATCCCTAGTCTCGCATAAGCATTGAGTGGATCACGCAGGTATGTTGCAGAAGAAGTGACGAGTGACGGAAATGGCGCAAGAAAGGTTTGAGAAGGAATAGGTGCTGTAGTGTGAAGAGCATATGTGGGAGGAAGAACAGTAGAAGGGTTTATCGATGTATGCAACGCTACACCTGTTCCCTCTTTTGGATATGATGGAAAAATGACTGGCGTTGTATCGAAATAAGGCCAACCAACACCAGGTGAAATCGCAGAAATGCCTCTCCATTCTGCAGCTTGTCGTCGTAAGCGCTCACGAATGTCGTTGTGAGGGATAATATCGTGGTCGGGGATGTCAATGTGGAGATGGTGAGCGTCATCTGCTGGACTCGACGCTCGTCGTCGTTTATGTGAATCGACCATACTCATCTTTCCCATTCTTCCTCTCTGAATGGCTCGTGCTTTTTCCCTCAGCTTTTCTCTACTTTCTCTGATCCTCTCCCTCTCGTCTCCTTCCACTCGCGTGTTTGCATCATCACATTCCCAACACCACCATCTTTCTGGTAAATTTTCTTTATCTTTCGCTTCAATTCCAAAACAGACTCCGTGTACCCAACGGCCACAGCCATCACAGCCAATAGACCATCCGTCGTCAGACGTAAAGCCACAAATGCATCGAATAGATTCAGGGTCAGGAGGGTCAGACGGCGTATCTGCAGTGGGTTGTTTTCGTTTAGATGGAATTATGGATGGTGGAGTGCCCCCTCTTCGTGAAGTAGTACTGCTTTTACGATTTCCAGTAATGGTCGTTGTGCCTTTGCTACTACTTCCACTCGCTTCGCTTGGGCCTGGTCCAGTCGATATTCTTCGAATCCGTACGTCTTCTGTGTCCCTAGCTACATTCATAGCCTTACTCGAGTTGCTTGTTGCGCTACCAATTAGTTCATTAACGGCGCTTTAGAAAGCGACGGAATCGTTGGAATACTGTGAGACTATAAGCGTCAGTCATCGACGCTTGAAAAGAATACCCACAATTAGGAGCTTCCAAGGTCGCTTTACTTCTTTAATCTCGAGCTTTCCTTCCTTTCCTTCACAAGTACTTCTTCAAACAACAAACTTCTTCAAGCACAATCACGATTCCAGACGAAATGAGAATGAGTTAATAAGGATAGGTTAGGGAAATATCGTTGGCTGAGAAAAAATAAGCAGAGGATGAAAACAGGGATTAGAAAAGACAAACTTCAACTGACCCCAGGCTTTGGCTTGCTGCCGATGTTTACTGGTGCCGAGGCTTCGGCTTTGATCCACGAGCCCCGTGACTCATGCACTGCGCTTTATGACAAAGATTTTTGTGCTCGTTCCGGGATCTTGCGAGATATCCGGGCTGGTCCGTAAGCTACTACCTATATCTTAGGTACACCTTCTGAAACTCAAGGCGCTATAGCCAAGTGGTTACGGCGACAGATTAGAATGATAGATAATCTGTTCCTCTTTGAGGGCGCAGGTTCGAATCCTGCTGGCGTCGATTCAGGATGGTGATGTGCGTTGTCTTTTTGTTTTTTCAGTCCAGTTCAAATAAATAAACAATTGAAGTACGTGATATCTTCACTTCTGTTCTAAATGCCAGTAAAGCCAGTCACCGAAAATGTATCTAAAGTTCTAAGGCCCCAAACTTTCTCAGTTCTCATCAATTCACCCTTCGTTTATTGTACATACAGTTACACACCATCCTACCTACAGTATCTATATCGAAATATATAGAATATAGAATGAGAAAGCCGACAATGTATGATTCGCAAATGAATTTATGCAAAAGTCCTTGCAGATCAAGACGGTAACGGAGTGGTAGGAGCAAATCCCCTTCCTCGCCCTCTAAACCCTCTCCCTCGACCACGATCAAAAGTCGGAGGAGCAAAGCCTCTGCCACGAAATCCTCCACCACCAAATCCACGCGGCGCACCCCGCCCTCTTGGTACATGGGCATGCACAGCACCAGTCGAGTTCGAGGGCGAATGCAAAGGAGCAGCACCTTCCAGAGGTCCTCGAGTATGATTACCAAATCCTCCTCGTCCTCCTCGAGCTCCGGTGCTTGCACCGCGATTCGGGTTGGTCATAATATGTACCGGTTTACCAGCCGAATAGGAACTTGCTGGCGCCGATGCTACCACTGGCGCGGAACGGAACCCGGCCGCAGGTGCTTGCCCTGGTGCTGGCTTCACTTCTGGATGCGGTCCGAATCTCGGTTTGAAAGGCACTGTATGATTCACCGGAACAGGCGGTTTCTGTTCTTTCGGATTCGTAGATGTGACAAACTGCGGGTCACTCAAATTCAGACACGAGCTGAACTCGACTGTGAGGCCACGGTACTCCGAACACCTGATACGAAAGACTTGAGTTATTTGGGACGAGATGAGAACAACAGAGAACTTGCCTATCCCCCAACGTAGTCCCGCTCATAAACGGTACATCCCACACCACATCCATACTCTTTGAATTCAACCCCACCACTACTCCCTTGGCTGCCAACGGTACTCCGCCCGAATCTTGTACCATCGTCACCCTATCGCCTAACCCAAACCTCTGCCCCTGTAACCTATAAACCGCATGTGCAGGTTTAAGCACAGCTTGTCTCGGTATCCCCTTCACAATAGCCTTCTTAATCGCTGTACTAGACTTGTTGACAGTGAGATTATCAGCAAGCTTCTCAATCTGAGCAACAGTCTTTTTACTAAGTTGATCACAGAACAACGAGACGGCTTCAAAGTCCCGTACTCCTTTGGATTTCAGCCAGAGTTTGATCTCTTTGACTCGGGCATCGGGATTGGAACCAGCAAAGACATCTGTTGCCCGTAACATGGCTAGCAGGAAGTGCATTAGCAAAAAGTAGATGACATTCGAAAGGATACGCACCGTCTCCACCAACATTCAAACAATCGAAGATATCCGGGAATGCAGTTTGGTATTCCTGTAACAACTTGATAGCCTTGTCACTGAATTCCCAATGCCTGCCATCCTTCCTCGAATAATCCACCACCTTCAAGCTCTTTGCCTCGAATTTCATACTCAAACCCAGATTATGCTTCTGATTGTCGGAAGTAATAACCATAAAACTTGACGTAATCTTGGAAATACCTCGACTTGACAACCCAAGCATCTCTGCCGCACGGAATGCAGGATAGTACGTGGATGAGCCAGCTGTTTCTTGAACGATTGCTTTGAACTGGGAATTCTCCGTCTTGTCGGAGGGGAAAAACTATAGAAGTGGGGTTAATGCACGTTTGGAGAAAAATGATACAACGTACAGCAAGGATAACAGCAAGACTCGTTTCTGTTGTGGCAGATACTTGGGCTGCAACGCCATACGCATGTTCTCCCAAAAAGAAAATCTTGCTTTCTTCCGGAAACTCTTCCGATAATGGCGGAGCTGATCGCTCGACATATCGTGGGTCCTCCGCGCCAACAGTAGACACAGACATCTGCACCGCAACCTCCGTCTCTTTTTCAACTCCCTCATATTCCTTTATGAATGAACCATCCTCCAAAGGTTTAAGACCTATCCAGCCATCAGAGATAATTCTCCGAGAGTTTAGTGTTGAGACCTACCCTTCAGTGGCCGGACATGCAGTAGCACCTCTACTGGCCCAGTGACGACCCCAAACCTCTTCGAGTAGACACCCTCAATCCTATCAGCCTTGGTCTTCCAAAGTCCTAATCCATTCTGATTATGTGGCGTTCCCAACACCTTCTCCGCGCCCCGTCCACGCATACCAACTTGCACCGACTCGTACCGGAACAGTTCATCTGACACCGCCACAACCCTACCCTCAGACAGGAATGGCCACCCGACAAAAGTACGTTTGCCCAACATCTCCTGGCCAATCTCCTCTGTCTTACGACCCTCGTAAGTGTTTCGTATGTGAACTACAATGCTCTGATTGCGAGATTCTGAATTATGGACATTGACATGGTGATATCCCAACACAGTATGTGTGTGCGGGAGAGTATTCAACGACGGAAAACCCGATAAAGCTGAAGGACCCGTTCGTACGCCCTCTACGAGTCCAGTGACGAGGACCAAGCCTAGGTCTGGATCCAGCGTCGGGAGGTCGAATGCCTCCATTTTGCACATGCAACGGTAGAGGGGAGGGAAAAATCCTGGGAGAGAAGAGGGGTATTCCGTCGGTTCAGCGTTGAGACCACGGAACGTGAACCTGGTGGTAGTCCCAAACGTATTGCGCTGCTTTTCAGCGGCAGTAAGGAGATGTTCCTTTGTACTCATTGCAGCCAGTAATCGCTCCTGGTCGATAAAGGGAATTTTGACGATGGCCTCCCAGTCCGCTTTCTTTCCATTCAGGTCCTGCTCAAAATCATCTGGGTAAAAGTCGGATATTGAGGAGTTAGGGTTCGTCATCAAGTCCTGCATATTTTGGTCAGTCCAGCTGCAGGAAAATAACGTAATTTACATACATGATAGGCCGCGGGGATATGTTCCTTACTGGCCACAGGCAAAACACCCATCAACTGCTCATACGGTCTAAATGGGTGTCCCAGCTCAAAATCAAAGCTTAATTGAGCGATTCCTCGTATTGCTTTACCACCTTCCCCTCCCCAGGTCGCAGTAGAGGACAGATCTGATATCCTGGGCGCGTAATGGTAGTCGAAAAACCAAGACCACGACTTGACGCCAGTAAAGTAATAGTACATTACCCACTGCAGTCCCTCGACGTAACGATACACCAGCTGCTGCATTGGTTCGGGATTGTCGTAAGAGATCTCCAGCTTTCCCGAGTAATACGTCCGTTTCCACTCATCCATTTTAAGTGATAGCGCATTTGCAGCGCGCGAGTCAAAATCTCCATCGTCTACATGAATGTCCGCCTTTTCGTACTTTCTGAGGACACGGAAGACTGCATCTTGTGCCTCTATGTCTTCTTCATCGTCTGAGGGATCTTCCGGGACGAAAGGGGCGAATGATACGAGGTTGTTTCCTTCCTCATCATACCCATCCCATGCTAAAGAAAGGTGAAGATCCTGGGCGACGGTCAAGATAAATTTTCTATCCTTCGCAGAAAATGTATTCGGCATCGTCAGCGGAGTTTTGGGTTTCGCCATAACCCAATCGCGTACAGCGCGGAAAATCTCATGTTGAGCTTCGCTCAAAACGAGAGCATTTCCGTTGGCCTTGTTTGGGCCGCCGTCCTTGTACTTTGATTGCTTCCCTTTGTACCAGTTCAAGTCGGAGTACTCCCGCTCAAAGACACCGACTTCCCATTGAGCCATTTCATCGAGAATACATTGGAGTCGAGGGAGGTTAATGGTTCCGGCGTCGTTGATATAACCTTCTAGAGTAGGGAGAACCTTTTTGTACACCTCGAATAACTTCTCCAACCCATTCTCATGGATGTGTAGGTCAGGCAAATTTGGTAAAAAGTCATTTCCGACAAATACGGCAAGCAAGATAAAGTCGTCGATGACACGCTCGAGAGAGTAGGGAAATGGGAGTTCGGTGGACAGAGTATGGAATTCGAGATGGAGATACTCTCGAAAGAGAGATAGATGGAGCAAATAGAAATTGATGGAATCAAGGGAAGAGTTGCCTCGGCTCTTCCGGGCTGGACCAAACTTGACCTCCTCCCGTAGAAGACAGAAATGAGGGTCGTGGCTAAGCAGCCCGAGCATGATAAGGTCTGCATCGAGACCATACAGGCAATGTCGGAGATTGGGGTCATACTCTGGCTGGGAACGGGACAAACGGATGTACTCCATTATTTTATGCTCCCCTTCTCCTGGTACATCATGTCCCGAGAGTACCACCTCAACATCCCTCCAGTTAGAGTCTTCTGTGATCTTTTTGTTCACAAAGTACTTCAGCTGTTCTGAGAGTTTTGCCATGAAAGGCGTTCCCGGTGTGATGCAGTTACTGTCAAACGCCTTCTCTTCTGGCAACGTTTCGCCTTTTGCTTCGGCCTTTTGACGAACTTCCTTGACCTCCTTGGCCGTTCTAAATCTCCGACTCCGCTGCTGGTTCATTTTGGCACGAGGAGCAACACCGTCAACCGCCATGAAGAATAATTTCTTGGGCTTGATTTTACCGAACAGGTGGTCGACATAGGCGAATATGGCTGTGAAAATTTGTTGTTCAGATAGTCGGAAATGAGCGTCTTCATCGTTGGGATGTGAACAGTTGTGTATGATAGCGTTAAAGTCGAGATATAAATTATCTAACACTAAAATTAATCCTCAATTCCGAGTTCAGATGAATAAGCGCACCAAATTCAGGAATCTTGTTCTCTTGGATAAGCTGGGAGGTCAAGGGGTATCGTTCTCTGCGAGAATGGTTAATGACGAGCACACTAAATGGTTAGAATAACATACGAAATCCATCGAAAAAACTAATATGATATTAGAATGATAAGACAAAAGAATATCATTGTAAACATACCTTTGGGATACCTAGAATATTGAAGTAATGAGTTCAAGCATCAAAAATGAGCAATGTACAGGAAGACTTGCCCATCGTAGAGT